AGGTGCGTTCGGATTAAATTGCTGGTTGTTCATAATTGCTCAAAATATGTGAACAATTTCTTGGGTTACTTTACTGTAAAAAATAAGCCATTATTGGCAATTGTGAGAAATTGTCTTGAGGAAATTAATTCTTATTTACGTAGGTGAAGACGTCAATGGCCATCTTTATCACAAAGATCATGTAAAGCCAGACATTGAAATGATCTCGCCAAATCTAATCTTCCACCTTTAGGCATTAATGGCTAAATATTCCAACTATAAAAATAAATATTTTTCTTAACAATTCGCCTACAAAAATTAAATTTCTACTTATCCCTTTGAGTAAAATGTATTTTTCGTCATCTTAATTTATCTAAATGATCTGATTTATTTTGAACACATTCATACATTAAGGTAATAGTCATATTTGTGCAGGAATTGTTACTTTTAATCTTGATTTTAATGACTCGTAACAAATGGAGTAAATAATTATTCAAGAAAATGACATTAAAATAAGAAGTTTAAATTTTCCACTACCATTATAACGCATCTCATGTGGTCATTGAAGTGAAAATCAAACGTAAACAGCTTCAAGCAACAACATCCTTAACCCTCATATTGCTTTTATAACAATACTTTATTGAGTGACTTTTCGGCAGTCGATTAATTTCAAGGCTGCACTCCGGAAACTAAAGAGAGACTGCGTTTGAACCCCGCTGCCACCAAAAATTATACTCCCGAAATCCTCCCTTGAAGTATAATGTGCTATTCAAGCTAGTCAATATTTGCAAATAAGTAAGCTTATTTTAAAAGTGTTAACGATTTTCCAACAACCAAACATCGCTTCAAAATTAAGCTATTTTAACCAAAAAGGAAGGATGTGGATATATTTTTAACTATTTGATATTCACTTATACATTTTTTCGGAAAACAATGCTTTATAACTTAAAATTGCTTTTCAAGGAAGAAATATTTAGTCATTGGAATATCTAACATTGATTACTATTTTACATTTGAGAAGTATGCGAATGAATCAATGTTATTCATTAGGAAGGTAGAAGTATCGAAAAGTTATATTATCAAGATTTGAAAATCAGAAATTTTCATGCAGAAATACAGCAGCAGCTATAGAGGGCAGATAAATTTAATTTTTGAGGTTTTAGTTGAATAAAATGAACAAGGATGTTTGCAAAATTATTTTGTCATATTTGGTAGTTAATTTAAACGTGACTGCAAGCAGAAATATCAGGCTTTAAAAGTTGACTTTATTCGGTCGCATCAAGTCTTTTAAAAATAGTTACTTGAACTTCGGTTTGAAAATTATTTATAGTCAATATTTCATCCTTGTAATCGCATCAATTTAAATTTATGAAATACATTCTCGTTCTCGTTGCAATCAATTTTCACTTTCCTTGCTAATCAATATTTGGATTGGTGCTGATGAAATTGCCAATTAGATGTTTTCTTCATATCCACAGAATTATGACGACTTCTTAAACTTGACATGTCAAACCCTCCTACCAAAAGGAGGTGCAAATTGTTGATAAAGTGACCAAATAAAGTTGACATCAGACATGGAAGCAGGTAGTGTAGACAGCTAACCATATCCTTCTCACTATGTTCTATGAATGAATGAATAAAAAATCTATTTCCATTATGCAAATTAAAGCCTGCGCATATTTATTTGGAAACCTTTAACATTGCACCAATTTATAGGTTAAGTATTTTCTATATCAGCTACACAATCAACATTAATAAATAAAATGTTTCAAAGTTTCTTTGAATTAAAGTTTTATTTGCAAATAAAGTTGCATGGTCACATTTATAGAAATCTCAATTAGAATTGAGTAAATTGACAACTTTCAGAAAATATCTTCATGATGAAATTTAACCGATGTAAACCACCAACATCCAGATTCAACTTGCATCGAAAACATAACTCATCAATCTAATTAATATTGGAGATTGATTTCATGTGCACTGAGATAAATCATGGATGGACAAGCGTGCTACTTAGCCACTTAAGTAGATTCCGTTAATTCACGAAGCTTTTTACGTAAAAAACATTTCTTCACAGCTTGTAATAGCACCTAATTGCGGCTATGGACTGGTGATTAAACCTCCATCATTCAAGTTTGTCATTTACATGGATGAGATAGTGACGGTAATGATTTCCCTTCGAAGTTCAAGTAATCAATTAAATGAGCTAAATGCAGTTGATATGTATTGTTGAGTGAAACAATTGTATCAGATTTTCCGGCACGCAGCCATAATAAATTTGGCTGCCAATATCAGTCAAAAAATAAAATCGCATAATATNAGAATCGAAGCCGTTGTTGAATTTAGACTACGTACCGGACACGATTGCTTGGCAAAGCACCTTCACAGATTGGGATTATACACTCAACCCACATGGCCTCTATGTAACCTACAGGAGGAAATGGAGAAGACCCACCTGATTCGGTGTCCAGCCCTAAAGACAAGGACGGAAAGCCAGAGATACTGGGAAGCAAGAAGACAGCTAATGAATTGCTATTAATTAACTGATTTAAATGTACCTCCCATCCTTGGGGGAAGCTGAAGTCAAAGTTTAAGGGCTAATGGTAAATATCATAAAGCCTGCCATTTGAAATATATATAAAGTTTAAAGTATTTTTAGCGAAATCAGGCACTCAAGTCTATAAGTCGCTGACATAGTGAACTTTAACTTTTTATACGAATTTAACATATGCCAACTTCTGCCTTTAATTCGAAAATCGAAGGTTTGTTTTCAAAACTAGAATAAATCGTTTTTAAGTCTTTATTAGCAAAATAACTTTGTGATCGCAAGGTATAAATGAAAACAAAATGAACTTTTTCCATTCTTTTGAGAGCTGACGATGAAAATAGAACGATACAAATTGCACTTTGTCTTAACATAAAGTCTCCTAAAGGCTGAAATTTACGTTAATATTAAATGTTTTGAAATAAATTTATTCATAACACAAAGTACTCGATGCGACTCAAGTTTGCCCGAATTGCCTACAGTTTCACACAACAGAGATGCAGATTGTCTTTAGTTTTCGGTTTAAATCAATATTTGGGACATTAAATTCTAGTCACATAGACATTAATCCACCTCGATATATATTTTTCTAGCACTATATTTATATTTATGGGGTGTGCGATAGACTTACCTCTAAGTGGTGCACCGTGGGCAACGTTTACTCATACGGCAAAAAGTCTATTAACTGGCAGTTGACTTCTGACTTCAAACTAGAATGGTCCCACTGTATTTCATTTTCTACCACTTCCATGGTACTCATCCTACCTTTCTCTGCCTTTGTGCATGTCTGTCCCTTTTACATCTGTGTGTCACTCTTCTGTTACCCACCTCTCGACTTTCTGTTACTTTGATATTCCACCTCCCCCCCCTGTGAAGTCCGAAGTCAGCTAAAGGGCTAATGATAACTATCAAAACGCCTGCCGTTTGAAATAAATATAATTTAGTTTTGAAATAACTTTCTTCCTAACCCAACGTAATCAACGCGACTCAAGATTGCCAAATGGCCAACAGTTTCGCATAACAGAGATGTAGTTTTTCCTCAGTTTCCNAAAATGTTTCAAAGTTTCTTTGAATTAAAGTTTTATTTGCAAATAAAGTTGCATGGTCACATTTATAGAAATCTCAATTAGAATTGAGTAAATTGACAACTTTCAGAAAATATCTTCATGATGAAATTTAACCGATGTAAACCACCAACATCCAGATTCAACTTGCATCGAAAACATAACTCATCAATCTAATTAATATTGGAGATTGATTTCATGTGCACTGAGATAAATCATGGATGGACAAGCGTGCTACTTAGCCACTTAAGTAGATTCCGTTAATTCACGAAGCTTTTTACGTAAAAAACATTTCTTCACAGCTTGTAATAGCACCTAATTGCGGCTATGGACTGGTGATTAAACCTCCATCATTCAAGTTTGTCATTTACATGGATGAGATAGTGACGGTAATGATTTCCCTTCGAAGTTCAAGTAATCAATTAAATGAGCTAAATGCAGTTGATATGTATTGTTGAGTGAAACAATTGTATCAGATTTTCCGGCACGCAGCCATAATAAATTTGGCTGCCAATATCAGTCAAAAAATAAAATCGCATAATATCGGTTAGAATGTTCTTTTATGCTACATTTTTCTGGAAATTTAACAGATATTCATCAAATCGTATTCTCTCTGTCATTTTATTAGATTTATAGACTTCAAGATTAATTTGTTTTGTCAACCTAAAACGCATTCACAATGAACGATATAATCTCTAAAGGGGTGTGCGATAGACTTACCTCCACGCTCATACGGCAAAAAAGTCTATTAACTGGCAGTTGACTTCTCAGCTCAAACTACCATCACCTCACTCTATGCCATATTCGACTATTTCCACAGTACTAATATCTGCTATTTTAGCAATGTGACATTTCCACTTTAGCTTTGAGTCAAAAGTCATTCCGAGATATGTGAACTCATTGGTTTTTACTAGGGTAGTATCCTTGTACCTTAGAAGCGGGCTCTAGGGTAATATCCTTGTACCTTAGTAGCGGGGTTATGCTAGGGTAGTATCCTTGTACCTTAGAAGTGGGTTTGTGCTGTGGCGGGATAAAGGAAATGTTCTAACTTCATTTTTCGAGGTGTTGAAAACCAAACTGAAGTATTAGGAGACTTCAACACCCACTCATCCAGATGGAGCTATAATAATATGTGCATAGGTGGAAAGGACATAGAATACATGCTTAACAGCAGCCATCTAGAACTTATTTACAGCAATGTGGCTTGTGCTACATATCAGCACTACAATGAAACCAGAACAACCCTTGACATACTCCTAGCTTCAAGCCACATCAGCGAGCATATGCACTTAAAAATAATTGACGATCTTGGTTCTGGTCACAAACCAGTCACTGCTAATATTACCATCGACTGCCACACCATGACAACGAAAGTGTCAACTTAGTAATCATAGAACTTCAAAAAGGCTGACTTGTCTAGATTCACACGGTTTTTTTTAGAAAATGAACTTCACGCAAGTCCCATCAACTTCAGCCAACATCCTGACAAATTTCGCAACGAAATCACAAATATCAAGGTGAGAGATGTCTTATCTGTGTATGCAAGTCTTATGCAATGGGCTCTGAGGCGTGAGAATGTAAAGCACGCATTTTCTCCCTACCAGGAAAGCGACAACTTGCCCAGGCGTATGGGTGGAATTTCCTCCTATACTTACTGTCTCATGATGATATTCCATCTCCAACAGAAAGGCTACCTGCCCTGTCTCCAGACAGTAAGAACCATTGAAATTGACCACAACCTTCTTCACTTTCCATCTATTCACACATCTATTCATCCACCCCACCCCACCTGTCAATTTATCCATCTGTAGTAAATTAGTGTGCTTTCACAATCACTTTCTCTCTCTTGTAGGCCTATGTTGGCGATACAAAGCTGATCATTTGCGAACACAATGACTGCAACGTTTGGTTTCAGACTGACGAGGATGTTGTCGTAAGTCATCATTCCTCCTAATAAAGCTTCCCAATCGCTTCTTATAGCCATTCCACCACCACCACTATCACTAACATCACAACCTCGTACTTACTTCCTTTCTTACTAACTCACTCCCTTGCTCACTTACTTGCTTACTTGCTTACTTAAAAGAGTATGAGGAAAGCCTCCGCTGAGTGGAAAACAGTGTCACACCTATGGCTGAACTTTCTCCATCTCTATCTTTTTGAGTTTGATTCCCTCAAACACAATGTTGCCATTGATTCGTTGAACCACTTGGAGAACACCAGGCCCCCGCAGTCATACTTATAATGGAAAAGAATTGGGGTGAAATGTGCAAACAATTTGTGGCTGGTTGTTTTCTAATTGCGAATCTTGCCTTGTGGACCCCTTCGATACTTCTCACATGTTGACGCTTTCCAACAAAATCTGGGAGACCGGTCTCTTACCTAGCCAAAGAAAAGTTGCCATAGTAAAACAAGTACTTAAAAAGGGCAAGAACCCTAGCAACTTTGACAAATAAAGGCTATCTCCCTCACTAAATGAAAACAATAGTTAACAAGTGGCTGACTTGGTTCCTTGAGACCAACAATATACTTAGGAGTGAACAAGCTATGAAAAGACTGGTTTACAGGAGGCTGACCTGGTTTCTTGAGACCAACAGTATTCTTAGGAGTGAACAAGCAGGTTTAAGGCCACAAAGATCAACGAACCAACAAGTAGTTACTTTCTAAATAACACTTTCTTCCAACACATCAAAGATGCCCTTAATGCAAAAAATACCCTTACTCTCCCAACACACCAAAGATGCCCTTGATGCAAGAACTAAAAACACATCAAAGATGCCCTTGATGCAAGAAATACCCTTAGCTTGTATTCATCGATTTCAAATCAGCATATGACTTAGTATGGTGATTTCAAATCAGCATATGACTTAGTATGGAAAGAGAAGTTCTTCAAATCAGCATATGACTTAGTATGGAAAGAGAAGCTACTTTGAAAATTGGCAAAGATTGGAATTAAGCATAACATGCTAAATTGGATAAACCAGCATATGACTTAGTATGGAAAGAGAAGCTAATTCTAAATGGCAAGATTGGTATTAAGCATAACATGCTAAACTGGATAAAAAGCAAAGATTGGTATTAAGCATAACATGTCAAACTGGATAAAAGAAATCATTGGACAAAGATCATTAAACACCACTTACAAGATGTTCATTCAGCCAATAATATTGTATTGTTGTGAGCCACTCATTATTGCCACTGAGGTAACTCTCAAACCACTCGAGA